AGTCACTATACGGACTAAAACAATCCCCAAGAGCTTGGTTCATCCGGTTTGCCAAGGCTATGACCAGCAGGAATTACACCCAGGGGCAAGCAGATCATACACTATTTTACAAACACTCGGGAAATGGGAAATACTCTATTCTTATCGTCTATGTTGATGATATTATTCTAACAGGGGATGATTCGAGTGAGCTGTTGAAACTAAAAGACTTCCTCAACACAGAATTTGAGCTTAAAGATTTGGGGAATCTCAAATACTTCCTTGGCATGGAAGTAGCACGGACTCGGACAAGCATTTCTATTTCCCAACGAAAGTATGTTCTTGATTTATTGGCTGAAACTGGCATGCTAGGTTGTAAACATGCTGAGACTTCAATGGAGTTCAATTCTAAGCTAGGCAATGATGATGATGGGGAAGAAGTAGACAGGGGGAGATACCAGCGACTCGTGGGAAAACTAATTTATCTATCTCACACCCGACCTGATATTGCATTCAGTGTGAGTGTCATCAGTCAATATATGCATGCTCCAAAGGAAAAACATTTGGAGGCGGTTTACAGGATGCTAAGGTATTTGAAAGGAACAAATGGTAATGGTCTTCATTTCAAGAAAAACACCAGTCGTGACATAGAACTTTACACTGATGCTGATTGGGCAGGATCAGTGAGTGACACACGATCTACAAGTGGTTATTGTAGCTATGTGTGGGGCAATCTTGTGACATGGAGAAGTAAAAAACAATCTGTTGTGGCTCGTAGCAGTGCAGAGGCAAAATATCGAGCTTTATCTCATGGTATATGTGAAGGAATTTGGTTACAAAGATTAATGAATGAACTTAAAGTATTATATGTTAAACCTATGAATGTATATTGTGATAATCAAGCTGCTGTCAGTATAGCACATAACCCAGTTCATCACGATCGTACTAAACATGTGGAGATAGATCTTCATTTCATCAGAGAGAAGGTAAATTCAGGAGAAGTTTGTATCACCTATCTTCCTACTAAGCAACAAGTTGCAGACTTGCTAACTAAAAGTTTGAGTAAGAATGTGTTTGAAGATTTTATTGGCAAGCTGGGATTGATAAATATCTACACACCAGCTTGAGGGGGAGTGTTAGAAATCCTAGAATTAAGGGACTGAATCTTCTTCCTTATTTTTAGGAGTTGACTTAGTGTAAATATGTCTCTAATTGTAGTTCCTAATTTTTAGGGATTCTTTCTTATTTTTTTCACTAATTCTTACTTTAAAAGATGTAATATGTTGTTAGAGAAATATCATAATTATTTTTCTCAAATCTGTTCAGCCTGAGTTCTTTAAGTATCTTGAGATGGGATTGCAGAATTTTGAGGAATATCAAGTTTGTGGAATCACGGTTGGGGTTGTTGGTGATATCTGCCGAGCCTTGGATGACAAGATCTTACCTTATTGTGATGGGATCATGGGTCTTCTTCTGAAGGATCTTGCTAGTTCAGAACTTCATCGGTCTGTAAAGCCTCCCATATTCTCTTTCTTTGGGGACATTGCTCTTGCAATTGGAGAGCACTTTGAGAAGTATGTCCCCTATGCCTTACCCATGATGCAGGAAGCAGCCGAAATCTGTGCCAATATGGAAACTGCCGATGAGGAGATGATGGATTATGGCAACCAGCTCAGACGTAGTGTTTTTGAAGCTTTTTCCGGTATCCTTCAAGGTTTCAAGGGTGTGAAACCTGATGTGATGATGCCCTATGCTCAACATCTTTTGAAGTTCATAGAATTTGTCTCAGACAGCCAAAGGTAGATTTATGCTCTTTATTATTTCCTCTTTAGTACATTGATGCTTACCCTTTGCTATTATCCATCTAAATACTTCTTTGCAGGGATGAAAGTGTGACGAAAGCAGCAGTTGCTGTTATGGGCGATCTGGCAGATGCTCTTGGCTCCAACATTAAACTAATGCTTAAAGACTGCACATTTTATGATGAATTTCTCGTTGAATGCCTCCAATCCGACGATGAGCAGCTCAAATAGACGGCAGGTTGGACCCAGGGTATGATTGGAAGCGTGATAGTCAGAATATGAGCTGAATTTCAGGTGGTTATATCGGTCTGTCTTTTTTGTTCGAGTTCTGGTAAAGTTTTTTTTTTTGGAAAGGCAGGGAGCCGAAAGGGGGAGTTTAGTACATGTAGCTGTGCATCTATTATTACAAATTTGGGTTTTGAATTTGTCGAGGGTTTTCTTAATCCTCATGTGATTGGGCATTTATGTGAAGGTGGTGGTCAAACAGTTTATCTAATGTATCCTCTTAATCGGTTGTTTGTCGAGTTAATTTCTCTCTTTTCCTTTAAGCTTTTTAATTTATCAATGAAGTAATTAATTAATTAATTAATTGTAATTTGCCCTTATAATTAACTTTTGTATTAGATGATTAATTAATCAGACAGAAAAGAACACGTTGACTACACAGGTAATTTCATCTACTTATTCTTCCTTATATTTAATATTATATGTTGATGACAAGGAATTTAATTATTCAGCCGGAAGCCATATATATATATATATATATATATAAATGTAATGTTAACCAAGGTTATCTTCCCCATTAAGTGAAAGCTACATTTAACCATGATGAGTAATAAGTAGTTTACGTAACAAAATCTCTTCATTAAAAAAAGACTAAATAAAGAATTTCCATGAAATAGAACCTCTAAGAAGCTGCCAAGTAAGGAAGACGACTCAACAGGGAATCTTGAATGAAAGCTCAAAGCAAAAACAATATCACCAGGAAGATGATGCAGTCGGAAAATTTAACCCCTTCATGGCCGTTCGACGGTTTGGTGGATTCAAGTATCAATTACTTTGATTTCTCTGATATTTCCTCCAATTCCGATTTCATTAGGATGTTCTCCGATGAGATTTTCCGGCAACCGGCCTATGATTTTGATGATCAGCTTCATGTCATAGTTCCCCGGGATGAATTTTCAGTCCCCTTGGTGGAGCTTGATTCTATGTTGACTGATGAAGTTGGTGAAGACAGTTTTCCATTGTCACAGTCACAGCCATGTTCCTCCCAAAGGCAAGATGTATGGAGTCCTTGTCTGTCGAGTGAGGCATCAATCAGCATGACGACGGAGCAATCGTCGCTCGCTATGCCGTAACTAGGAGAAGCCATGATGGAAACTGATAACCAGTTGACCCTATTTCATCTGCTCACTTCTTACGGAGAAGCTAAAGAGAATAACCAGACTGAGCTTGTTGAGGTGATCTTACGGTGTGTGAGCGAGAAAGGTAGTCCGGTCGGCAAAACCTTGGAACGGACCGTGTTCAATCTATCGTCTCACGATGTTCGAAACCAAAGAGATTATCTACTGCAAGAGTCTGCCGGGAACTTTTGAGGTTGCATTCAAGACTTTCCATCAGATATTCCCTTACGGAAGGTTTGCTCATTTTGCTGCTAACTCGGTTGAAGCCATGCCAATCGATGTGGATCTGCTACATATCGTCGATTTCGACATTGGATCGGGGATCCAATGGCCTCTGTTGATCGAGGCCATGGCAATGCAACACAAGACACAGACTGACATCACTAAAATGGGGAGAGGAAGGCTACGGTCTCTCTCCTTGGAGGTTCAACTACACGAAAATGCAACTTTGCAACCTTGCTAGGTCCTTCGGCCTAAACTTGAAACTCGAAGAGATGGGAATGAAAGATTTGGCGAACAAGCTAGAGGGAATGAAGAAACGAGGCCGTAGCAGAGAATGGTTGGCTTTCAATTGCATGGTGGGACTCCCACACATGGGCGAAAACAAGAACCGGAAGCTCGTAAACGAGTTCCTCGACTTGGCTAAACAACTATTGGCAAGAAACAAGGGAATCATAACACTTGGTGATGCTTGTGGAAAATGGCGAACAAGCTAGAGGGAATGAAGAAACGAGGCCGTAGCAGAGAATGGTGGCTTTCAATTGCATGGTGGGACTCCCACACATGGGCGAAAACAAGAACCGGAAGCTCGTAAACGAGTTCCTCGACTTGGCTAAACAACTATTGGCAAGAAACAAGGGAATCATAACACTTGGTGATGGAGATGCTTGTGGAAAACTGAAAGACAGTTCAGGATTTGGGGCCATTCTTCAATGGACAATTGAGTCACTACCAAGCTATTACGGAGTCGATGGAATCCGACATCGCGAAGCACTTGGTCCAAGCAAGAATGGCAATGGAGTGCCTGTTCGTAGGGCCTAATATCTCTGCTCAAGCTTGGTTCCAAAAGTGGGAACAGATGAATGAAACTCGCCATTTTGAGGCGGCGACAACGATGGAAGGTGTGAAGCTGAGCAGAGAGAGTAATGGAGGCTAAAGAAATGGAGAGTGGAAGAGAAAATTCATATGAGGTGAGAATTGGAGGCTATTCTGGGAATGAATTGGCCTTGGAGTGGAGAGGAAATGTATTAGTCAAAGTCTGTTGCTGGAGAAACTAAAGCTAATTTGTTTTATACCTAGATGTAAGATACGAACAATAGAAGGATTAATTATGTATAAATAGTGAAAACTAATTAAGATTATTTCTTTTTCTGTAAAATAGTAACATCATTTCTATTTTGTTTATTGGATTGTTTACTGAATATTCAAGTACATGAAAATATTAATAAAAAAAATACAAGAAAATAGAAGGGGTCTAATTATGCTCTTAATTATTGTATTGTTGGAATATTTTATTGATGATCAATATCAAGTGGTGGACGAAAGAGGTAGATTGGTGAATCATTCTTTTTGATTTGAATAAGGATCATTGATCGATATTTGTTAGATCATTCTCTGTGACATGTGGTGATATAGAAGAGTAGAAAACCGTCCACACCAAGATTCAAACCTGCGCAGGCATGGCCTATCAGATTTCGAATCTGATTGTTGATGGATTAAAATGTAATTAACTAATACTAGAAGGACTGGGAGTAGAATTAGACAAAAATCTTTGGTGATTGCTCTTATTATATCAAGTAAAATTATTACACAATAACGTCGACAGCAGGATTTGAACCTGTAGCAGGCATAGCCCATCAGATTTCGAGTCTGACTCCTTAACCACTCCGACATATCGACAATCCTCATGTGGGATGAAAAATAATTAACTAATACTTGAAGGACTGGGAGTAGAATTAGAAAAATATTCTGCGATTACAATTGAAAAATAAAACCGTCGACAGCAGGATTCGAACCTGCGCAGGCATAGCCCAACAGATTTCGAGTCTGTCTCCTTAACCACTCGGACATATCGACGCTATTAATCTTTCAATTATAATAATTATATTTGAAGTATAATTATTAAAACTGTTTTTCAGTCTCTCATTACTACACCTTGTGGTTTTGCTCAATTTTGAAGGGAGTACCCACCCTAGAAAAATGGGGAAACTCTCTAAGATGATAGATATAGGGAACCTGATACCGCATACCGCCGATCTGGTGGAAGCATTAGAGGGAAAAATGGATATTAATAGCGTTCAATTGAGTCGAGTCAAAAAATTTTGAGTTATTCGAGTTGACGAATATTATTTCATAAAATAACCTTGGTTTGAATTTTTTTCTCGAATAGAGTTTTTGAGTTTTTATTTGAATTTAATTGTAAATATTTATAATATTATGATATTATTTGAATATATATATGTCATACCGAGTCAAGGGATTTAAACTTGAAAATCAATTCACTAATTGCTAAAAATTGAGTTATTCAAGTAGTATTTTATAACTTGTTTTTTCGAGTCGAGTTTATGAAATTATAATTCGAAGTAATTCAATTTTTCGAGTGGAAATAAGTTTTCTTCACCCCTAACATTAACGACTTAAAATCGAAGCTTGAAGGAAAAGAAATAGTGACAAGGTGACTACTTTTTATGCTTGTGATAGTGTGAGGAAGATGATAAATTCATTTGCTTTTTTGTTGATAACGAATCGAAATTCTTTTTTCTTAGGGTAACCTGGAAACTGCATACGAGATTCATTTATCAAATCTCCAATTTAGTCTTCAACATTAAACTTGGTAAGATTGTCAAATAAGCTGGCACTAACTGCTTCTGGTTCCATTATAAATCATAAGAACCATAAGTACATTACATGATGGTAGATCAATGATCATTATCACAGTACAAATATGAACTTATGCAGGTTGCTTCTATTTCCCTCCATTTTGGTATCTTTGGGAAATCGCAGATTTCTCTTCAGTTGCATGTAGAGAATGTGACAAGCAGGCCTTTACCCAAGCTTTGTCTTTGTAAGCATTGCAGACATAGGCTATAAAGTTTTCGTATTGTTGTTTTCAGACGGTCGGATCAGACAGAAACAGAAGGATTTTTTTGTAAGTTATAACAAGAAAAAAGAGAGAGAGAGAGATGAGAGACTAATATCATAAAGAGGTTGATTATTCACTGTGACCCATGGAACGTATAATGTTTTGGATGTAGATCATCAGTTTCAGTAGCATACCGTAGTAAAAGCTGCATTCACATTCAATTTGCAATATGGTGTTAGTGATGGCATGTTTGAGAAAACCAGCCCCATCGCATTAAATGAAACTCAACTACTTCCTCATGCATTTGCTGGAAAAAGTGGGGCGTTGTTTAATTAAAACTGCAGAAAACTGTTGTGTGATTGATGGGTTTAGATCTATTTTGATTATGAAACATCATGTTCCAGGTAGAAGAAGCTTGCCTTTCTTCCATATCCGCTGTCGTAGCAGTTCTTGATGAGTTTCTGGTCCATACCCAATGTGGCAGAGCAGGCTTTCCAGACGGCATCCGCACCGTCAGGGCCTTGATTTTCGACGCAGTAGATGAAGTTGAAATGCTTTCTCTGAGGTATTAAGTACAGAGTTAATGAGAAGTAATGGATACACCTACTTTCTCTGTGGTAAGTGGTGATCAAATCATTTGAAGTACATTTCCTTCGAAATTAAGAAATCTGTGTTCTAGTTCCTGATCAGTTCAAGTAATCTACTTGCTTCTTGTGCTGACAAGAAGGGATTTCGGCGATGAGAAAGGTGACTCACCGGATCAGGCCAGATGTTGATGGCGCAAGCATGTATGGTGTTGAGGTAACATTCATCTTCACCGTGCTTGATTGGTAAACAAGAAACAAGTAAAGGGTGTTAAAATTACGAAACAATGAAACTTCTGGTTATATGTAATGAAAGTAACAAACTCAACCTGGAAAGTGATGGTTTTGTTAGGTTTTACATATTGGGCATTGCCCCATGGAACCAGCCTGAGATTGATGATATTGAGAAGATCGGTGTTGAAGACCTTCACGAGTCGACTTACGATGAAACTCCGGCAATATGGACATAGAGACTCATAATAAAGAGACAAATGAACTTTTTTCGATCTGATATGAGATTGAGCTTCGCTGACATTGTTATCTGGAGAAGAAGTGAATGGATAGATGAACATGACATGCAGAGAAAGGAGAAGAAAAGACAGTAACTTAGAAGAAGCCGTTACTCAGTGAAAGCACTCAAAAGTTCCCTTATTTTGTAGGGTTATAAACACTCAAACACCTACATATATAGTTGCGTATAAATGATATTATATATATATATATGTCCCACAATGGTTATGGTCCCCCAATTTATATATTTAGTTCTTATCTCCATACAGACATAAAACAAAAGGATGTTGATTTTTCATTCATAGAATAGAGCAATGATAATAGAAACATATCAGCTGTTACATGTCTCATATAATCATAACTAGCAGCTGATTTTATTATAGTTTGTGAATGGTGAATGGTGAAGCAGCTGCATCGGACAAAGCAGAAGCTATGACCTCTTTTAAGGATCTATTTCAAGTTTGTAAAAATTCACTAGCATAGCAGCCTTGATGGATATTTTTTGCGATCTTATCGAGGGTCGAGCCGACGCTGGATGATTGTGTTTTGCAAGCCTCTGGTTTAGGATCACCTTGATAAGCATCACAGACATATTTCACAAAATTCTCGAAGTCCTGCACCATGGAACAAATATTGAAGTTACTTGTCACAAAAGTTACTTCAAATTAGCACAATGAGAGAGAGAGAAACACACATCTTTGAGTGCATGATTATTCACCACCACCCATGGAACATATTCATGAGGTGGATTGAGATTTGCAGTCTCGTTACCGTATCGTAGCAGAAGCTGGCGAACATTAATTTGCATGCAATTCAATGTTACGAGTAAAGCACAGGAGGAACCATATGATTAAATGAAATGAAACTAGGATATACAACCAACCTTAATTCCAAGTCCAGTAGTATAGCACTTGTTTATCATGTCTGCTCTCAATCCCAGTTGATCACTGCAATTTCTCCACATTGCTTCTTTGCTGTTAACTGGCACCTCACTTAACCTTTGTTCCTCCGTGCAGCGTATGAAATCGAAGTGCTTTTTCTGCACGACAGTAAAGTAATTAAACACTAGTCCAAGACGAATCCGAATCCAAATACTTTTGGCTAATAGAATTTACCACGTCAGGCCACAAGTGAATGACACAGCTATCTATAGCATTTAAGTAGCATTCATCTTCTCCATGCTGCACATTGTGGCAAAGAGTTATAGTGCAAAAAATTAAACTTCTTTGATCATGAGAGTACATGAAAATGAAGAATGGAGTTCTAACCTGGCAACGGATCGTATCGCCAACAACGTCAGCATTGCCCCAAGGGACCAATCTTAGATTGACAATGGTATACAGATCAGTCCGGAAGACCTTAACAAGGTCATTTGAGATAAAGGAGGCACAATATGGGCATAAGGTTTCATAGTAAAGTGACAAAGTAACATGATCATGATCTAAAGAGGAAAGAGATGGAGAAATAAACATGAAAGGAAAAGCTACCAGAACAAAGAAGATCAAAGGTTGAAGATAACCCATGTTTTTTAAGAGCTTTTTGCACAATGCTTAATCTTCATTGTTCGCGGGTTTTTATAGTTGAGAACTAGGATGATGCCCTTAGTGTTCTTTCACTTTCATTAAACCATGTAAACAAGAGGGGACCAAGTTGACAGAGACAACCAACATTGTTATATATCTCATACAGGTTTGGATCACATGCAATGAGTTGCGTGTTGATGATGAGATTTACATATTTTAGACATGGGATTGCCTTAATTACCATGATTCAACTCTACAAGTAATTGCTTATAATGGCTTATTGCTTCCTGTAAATGCATCAGATTGTTGAAACTCCTTCCTTCATCATCTGGATTTGATGCTAGTTGCTGGAGATTTGTTGTACCTCCTCCGTAATTACATCTTCGCTGTCACTCTTTCGAACGAGGAATCTGAGACTTCTGAAAATTTCCTTCAAATATTTCAAAATTTATTTGGAGATAATCCGTCGTCTCCTTTACTTAATGTCTCTCGACATGACCGTTGTCAATTTCACTATCAGTTAAATTTATTATCTAACAATTAAATCTATGCATCTACCAACCTATTCATAACCATCAATCATAGACTAACACCAACCATCCAATCATCTAGATACACACAATTAATACTAAAGGAGATAACCTTAAAATGAACAATCACAGTTCATCTTTTTCTAATATTATTTTTCTTTTTTTCGTACCATCATCGATAAGATTCATTATATATATATATATATATGTTAAAATTCATTTATACAACGTAAATTCTTTAAGATGAGTATAAATAGACGATTGAAATTAACTTATTTTTAGTGAATATCTTGGCTCTTATTACTATTTTTTAACTATATTTTGATATAACAATTTATGGAAAAATGTTTTTGGACTTCAATTGAATTTATTCAAAGTTTTCAAAATTAATTCAAAGTCCATTTAACTTGGAATTGAGCACAAAATATTTTTCTAGACAAACAGTACTGATACTGTTCTTACAGTATCGATACCTCATGAACAGTATTGATACTGTTCATATGGTACCGATACCAAAGGTAAGGGAAGTATCGATACTCACTAGGTAGTATCGATACTACCAGCTTTGCTCAAATTCCAGAATACAAAAATGGTATCGATACCATAGGCTTAGTATCGATACCGTCAGGCCCAATGGATAGTTTCATTTAAAAATATAAAGGAAGTACCGATACTCTCCATAGGAGTACCGATACCCTCTGCTCTAGGCAATTTTGTTTTGCAGAGAAAAACATACACAACAGCTCTAAAAGACTCTCAACGGCTAGAAATTACCACAACTTCATTCCAACATATAAATCCAAGTTCAAGACACTTGAAGAATGGTTAGAACACCTATCCAAGCAATCAAACACAAGAGAAGAATTTTCCATTCTTATATTTCTATTCTTTGTAAATATTGTATTTTAGTGAGCTTTAATTTGTAAACACTCTACCTTTGAGAGGTTTTATTTATTTACTTATTTTTGCCTTTTGTAAAGGGGATTTGTTCTAGTTTAGCCAAGTGAAAAACTAGGGAGTTTGTAAAGGTTACTATTGATCCTTGAAAAAGAAAGAACAAATTAGTGGATTGTTGGAAAATCCTTAGTGAGGAGCTAAGGTAGTGGATGTAGATTTGGTTGAGAAGTCGAACCACTATAAATTTTTGTGCAAATTGTCTATCTTTTATACTCCTTACTCCCTAATATCAAAAAGTCAATTCGCCCCTCTTGGCAATATTTTCGGTTGTCAATTTAAGCCTCTTCGACCCCAACAATTGGTATCAGAGCTTAACTCATTAGAAGATTTAACAACCTTGAGTCGATCCTTGAAGAAGCTTTATCGATTTCTAACAAAACCGAGAAGATGGCTTCCACCTCCGGCTCGTTCCACATGGAAAACTCCCAATCGATCAACAAGCCTCCATACTTCAATGGAGTCAACTACCGTCATTAGAAGAAATTAATGAATCTATTTATCCAATCCAATGATCTTGATGCATGGGAGATGATTGAGAATGACTACTCTTCTCCAAAGAAGAAGAAGGAGTGGAGTGTCCAAGAACGGAAGAAAGCATAACAAAATGCCAAGGTCATACACATGGTGTTTTGTGCATTTGGTCTCGATATCTATGAAGAAGTTTATTTTTGTTCGAATGCCAAGGAGCTTTGGAATAAGCTCGAGGAAATCCATGGAGACAAGAAAGAAAAACCAACAAAAGAGGTGTCCTTAATGGCTCTTGAAGAGCCCAATGTATCTTCTAACTCAAGTGAATCGAATTCTTATTCTTTTAATGAGTTACAAGATGCATACGATGATTATTTTCGGAGTTTGAGACCATGAAATCCAAATACAAGAAATTGATTTCTAAATTTAAAGATGAAAATGATTTTCTTTTGAAAGCTAAAATGGATTTTGAAAGCCAAAATGAAATTTTGAAAAAGGATTTAGAGCTTTTAAAAATGAAAATTGAAAGCCTTGAAAAAGAAAATTTTGATTTAAAAGTTAAGCTTGAATGCTTAACAAAAGAAAAAAAATTATTTTAAATAATTCATCTAGTTTAATAATGACAAAATGCTCACATTGTCATTATCATGGTTACAAGGAACATATCTGTCCTTTAAAGAAAGGAAAACGTTTTAAAATTAGACAAGTATTGGTTCCCAAGGGAACAAGGGGTATTGAAACTAACATGCAAGGATCCAAAGCAATTTGGATACCAAAATCCACTTGAATGTCTCTTGTAGGTGTGTGGGAGCAATAGTGATGAAAATGAAGATATTCAAATGCTCTAGCCACACTTGGAAAAGGACTGGGTAACCTCTAAGCTTAAAGTTTTTTTTTTAATTTTGCATAATTGGTTGCTCATTTAGTTTGTGCATGCATGAGTTTTTAAACTTAAATGATTTTGTGTTGATTTTCTATCTCATGTATGTTAAAAAGGTGTAATGATGAACACTTTAAAGATTTAATGACTTTTCATAATTTTTGTTCATCATAATGAATTTTGGTCAAAATTGTTTTTAAATGCAAAATGATATCTCTCTAACAATTGATATCAACTTTCAAAATGTTTTGATTTTAATTTTTTTTTAAGTTTTTGTTGAGTTAATCGATTGATGAATATGGCCAAGATGGGGGTGAATTGGCAATTAAAATTTTGGTGGAAGCTTTTGCAGAAAATTGAAAGAAATTTGCACAGCGATTTAAAGTGGTTCGACTTTCTCAACCAAAGTCTACGTCCACTACCTTAGCTATCCACACTAAGAATTTTCCACAAATTCTAATTTGTCTTTTTGAGGACAAACAGTAACCTTACAAACCCTCAAGAATTATACCCCAAATTCTTGAGAACACTATCTCCCAAAGAGAACAATACAAATTTGCAAACTTACAAAGAAATCCTCACAAGGTAGATTGTTTGCACAATTCTAGAACAAAGAAAAGAACACTCAAAAAATAAATACAATTGAGCACAAAAAGTGTTCTTGAAAGCAAAATGAATATTGAATGAAAAATAGGCTTGAAATGCTCAAACTTGAGGTTTAATGCTTTCTCTTTGATTCTCTCTTGATTCTAGTTGCTTGATGTTTCTTGTTGTTGATCAATGGCTTCTAAACTTGCTTAAATACACCTTGAATCACTTCTGAACATTGGGGATGATTAGTGGAGTCAATATAGCCGTTTAAGTGTGAAAATAATTAATTACAAACAATTGGGAGCGTCAGTGCATCGATGCATACCCATGGTGCATCGGTGCATCGGTGCATTAGTGTAAAATTCAAATATTTTGATCGTTGGACCCTTAGTGCATCGGTGCACTAAAAGTGCATCGATGCATCAAGTGCATTCGATGTTTCAAAATAGCCAGAGTGCATCGATGCATGGCTGGTGCATCAAATGCATTCGATGTTCAATTTAATTCATGGTGCATCGATGCATGGATTGGTGCATCGGTGCATCACTCTGAAAAATTGATTTTAGGCTTGATTTTTTGTTCAAAATACTTTGTGAAAATTGTTTCAAAAATATATTAAGTATAAAACACAATTTTACACATTTAGTAAGGTTTGAAATTGATCTTAAAAGACTTGGAGTAATAATTTGATATTCAATTAATTGAATCGAATATATTTAGAAAATCATTTGTAAAATCTTAAAATTTATTTAAACTAATTTGTTATATCGAAATACAAATTTTTTTCAACAATCTGCCCCTTTTTGATATAACAAAACATTTGTGTTATTTTAAGATTTTCTAAAAATTTGAAATCAATTTCAATTTAGAAAAATTACTCCCCCTTACTATAACACTTCTCCCTTTTAAAACATTTTAACACTTAACATTTCTCCCACTTTTTGTTAAATCAAAAAGACTTAAAATCGATTTGAACAAGGTTTTGAAAAACATAGCCAATTGATTAAATATATATATATATATATAGCTTAAGCTGCTAAGATCCAATCAAAAGAGAGTTAGCCATTAGTTTCATAATCAATATTCATAATAAAATGTGAAATGGTAAATTGGTCATATTGCAACTAAAAAATAAATGATGCATATGTTGTAATAAACCAAAAAATATATAAAATATCAAACAGTCATCCAACGATCAAAGAAAGTTAATCCAAAATGTTTTAACAAATCAAGTTCAACCCAAAAACAATGAAAGATAAGTCTATTCATCCATTGAAGGATCGGAAGGAGGAGGAGGGTAACGAGCTCTCATCTCAAGCGAGAGTGCATCCAAACGATCATTCATATCTTGTTGTCGAGCTCCCAAGGTAGAGAGTTGGGACTCAATGAATGTGAAGCGCGAATCCATGGACGCATACCGTAAATCAAATGTCTCCAAAAATGAACGAAAATACGAAGGCATTTGTTCTTCTTGTGGAGCTGGTTCCAGTGCAGGCTCGTCATCAGGTACGTGGTCATCGATGTCTTGCATAAGTTGTTGAAATTCAGGATCATCGTCATCAGCCGGAGCTGGAGGAGGAGGAGCACGAGAGGAG